TACTCCAAAATGGCACATTTCTTAACAGCACATCATGTTATTCACCAATCGAACCCATGGGAGCGCGGTCCAAAATTGGTCTCGCAATGGGAATCTTGTTCCTGATCAGTATTATGTTCACATTGATTAACCTACGAAAACACGGCCGAACAAGTTTATCTCCTCGAAAACGATTCCGCGCAGTAAGTAGAAGATGGCAATGGTATTGGATGCTTATAATTGGAACTTGTGGAGGTATTAGCGGCATAAGTACTGTCGATGTTGACAGATACTTTTTACCAGAATTGCCGTTCGCTTTAACGAACTTCTTTTGGTTCTTGATGGTACCTGCAACGATGGCAGCCGTGTGGGAGAGTGTAAGACATTGGGGCAGCTGGCAAGAGAGACAAATGCTTGATATCCCTGAAAATCGACGCGCATTGAGGGAGGATGATAAGCGGACGAAGATCGAACTAGTTATTCCTCTGGTTTTCTATTTTTTCTTCTGGTTGAACTTCTTGTTGGTCATACCGAGATCATGGGGTTCGTTCGAAAAGCAACGAGATTTGGATCAGAGCAATGATATTGCTGCACCGGCCGCAACAGATGTCCGGTTCAAGCTCGCAGCCTTTCTTCTTTTTGGAGGATGGCTAACGACAATATACTCCTTACAACACTCGATATATCACTACATATCTCACGAACAGGGGTTTGGGAACCGCTTAATTGCAGTCTTTAAACACACTCCAGCCAAATTTGTCTTTACTCTTTTGCTTTCTCTAATCATGATCGGATATATCGCTGCAATTTCATTTTGTTTTCCAATATCTCCTCTCAACATTCAAACGAAATTGGAAGTTATGTATCCCTTAGGTTGGGGACCAATAGCTCTCATACTGCTCGTCTACGAGATCGGTGGCTACGTGAATCCGAACGAGGATCGTGATTTGCTTCGACAGCGACGGATTCGCGATGTAGCAGCGGATGAAGAGATTGGATACACGAAGAAGCCGAGATGGTGGAGTAGGCTACATGGTGATAACAAAATTGCCAGTATGCAAGAGAGGATAACTGCCATCGTCGCTGAAGTCGGAGGTGGAGCCCCAAGAACAAGGGATTTAGGAAGAGAGGTAGAGATGGAAGATCTTCCGTCACCTACTAGGTATGAAAGAGATATCGAAACCCCTACGAGAAGTAACGAGGCATTGAGAACGACCGCTGGTATATTATATCCTCCGCATCTGGATACCGAAGGAAGATTTAGAGATAGTCCAGGGAGGACAAGAAGTTCTGAAGCTAGCTCGGTGACACAAGTTGAGTCCGAACAAGGTGCAAGCACTAATAGTACTGTTTCTGTATCGGCTCCCCCACAGCAGATTAGAAGTATGCTGGATGTCTAGCTATGATTTGACAAATATGATCAGAGTTTGTGAAGCTTTTGGATGAACCCGTACGTGGAAAGTAGCTGAGAGGTTTAAAGTAACATCCTCAGTTACAATTAGGAAAACTCGACAACGAACTACTAGGTACATCTATAAGGTCTTTCTACGCGCCTTGAACGATTCTATAATCTTTAATGAACATCACATTGATTGAGCAACCGATATTACGTCTTATTTGCTCACCCATTCTCATCATTGAGTGACTTAATAGCATGATACTAGCTTCTCCTCACAACATTCCTAAAACTATTCTCCACGCTATTGGTTGCATTGTTTGATATCAGCTACCACGCGATTGTGATTTTATCTTGTTAGCTATTCCGAGTCATCGAATCTCTCACTTAGATCCACAGTCGGAATAGTGCCTCGTGGAAGGATCTCTCTCTAATGTCTGCTGTACCGTGATCAGATGATACGAAAAGCATTCCATGTATCTCACCAATTCATACATATTACACAAACAGAAAGCAAAAGTTTGCATAAGAAAAGAATTTTGCATTGAGCTCCAACAAACATTTAAACCATACTTCTCCCTATCAAATATCTCTCACATATATTCTTCCCTCAAACGGCCTCAAATTCAATTCACCCTCTTTCTCTCCACTCTGCACACCTTCCTCATAACTTCCGAACAACAGCTTTCCCGTCTCAACTGGAACCTTCCATTTAACATCCCACTCCTTGAAATTGCACGCAACCAAATACTCCTTCTCCTCTCCCTTCCTCAGATATGCATAAACCTCCTGATTCTCCTGATCCACCATTTCAAATCCACCTTTACATAACACGGGATTCTCTTTCCTGAGTTTAATCATCTGTTTCCAGAACTCCAACGTACTCCCCTTAACTCCCTCTTGCGCCGCGACGTTGATTTCCTTGTATTCCTCATTCGTCTTGATCCATGGTTTACCCTTTGTAAACCCGCCATTTGGAGAGTCATTCCATTGCATACCCATTCTCGAGTTATCTCTTCCGTATCCTTGGATACCGCGCGAAATATCTGTCATGTCTACTTCTTTCCCATTCGATTCTTTCTCCCGGCGCGCCTTCTCTGCCGCGAAGAAATTAATCTCTTCGACGTCTCTGAACTCTTCATTTGTCCACCACTTGCTGTTTGCCGTTCCGATTTCTTGTCCTTGATAGACAAACAAGGTTCCTCTACCGGTTGCATGGAATAGCGCTAACATTTTCGCAGCTTGCACTCTCCATTCCGGAGTATCTTTTGCCCAGCGCCCAAGAATACGCGGCTGATCGTGATTTTCTAGGTAGAGAGAGTCCCAGCCGTCATTCGCGGCATTGAAGGACATCCACTCCCCGAGATTTCTCTTGATATCGGTAAGATCCCATGAAGGGCGAGGAAAGAAGGGTTTCTTTCCGGGTTGGATATCAAAGTACATGTGTTCGAATTGGAAGATCATTTGGAGAGGTTTTCCTCCTTGTACGAGGCCCAATGCACTCTCAGGTCTCTTGAGTCCTGGGGTCTCTCCCACGGTAAATGCTTCGGGATAATGACAGAGGACTTCGCGATGCATTTCTTCCAAATATTCCTTGACATGAGGTCCATTGAAATTGCCCCTCACGCCAATCTGGAATTCAAGTCTCGGATCGGTGACTTCAAAATCGGGAAATCCAGGTTCCTTTGAAATACAGTTGATAACATCCATGCGAAATCCATCACATCCTTTATCGAGCCAAAAACGCATAATATCCCAGACCTCGTTGCGAACAGCTGGATTTGTCCAGTTAAGATCGGGTTGGCTGACATCGTAGACGTGAAGATAGTATTCGTCTGTTTGATGAGAAGGATCTTTCTCCCAGGATGAACCACCAAACATGGCACCCCAGTTATTGGGCTCTTTGCCATTCTTAGGTGGTTGCCAGTAGTAGAAGTCTCTTTTGGGACCGTTAGGACCGCCCGAGACGGATTCTTTGAACCAGGGATGTTCAGAACTGGTGTGATTTACCACGAGATCCATTACTAGTTTTAGCCCTAGTTCGTGAGCTCTGGCGCAGAGACCTATGTGTTTTTAGTATTTCTGAGAGTCTTGAGAAAGGGATGAGGAGGGGATGACTCACGTTCCCAATCTTCCATAGTACCAAACATAGGATTGATAGCTCGATAATCCGAAATATCATAGCCCATGTCATTCATAGGAGATGCATAGATAGGTGAAATCCATACTACATCTACACCGAGAGATCTGATATATGGTAATTTTGAGGTGATACCATTGAGATCACCATCTCCAGAACCGGTAGTATCGAGATAGGAGGCGGGATAAATTTGATATACAACAGCTTCTTTCCACCATTGATGGGTCGAACCAATGGTTCTTCTGGCTATTGATCCCATGTTGAGTTTGTGTGTGGGGGGTGGAGTGATAAGATATACAGATAGGTATTGCAGCTGTTTGGGTATATACTATTCGGTATCTTCAAACCGAGTTTCAAAAGTGTCCTCTGAAAGACGTAGTATACTGGGTATCGAAAAGAAATCCAAGAAATTGGTATGATTGGCAAAAAGACAGGTAACTAGATTCCCAGAATCCTTCTATATTGATTGAGAAAGAGACAGTCTTATATGAATGAGATGTATGCAAGAGCAACAGAGTTTATGTGTTGTTCAAAGATACACAAGTAACCTGACAAGTAACACCGCATAAACGTGAAATGATCGCTAATATTTATACATTTTATGTGTAAAGATTTCATTGTACATGATTCCCAGCAATTCATGCCCGAATCATGAATCTCTTGTCGCAACTGAATCTCACCGCATAAAAAGAGGGTAAAAACAAGGGGTCCAGGGTCCAATACCCCGCCAAAAGAAAGCAAGGGGTCCGCTAAAAAGCACGTCAAGCACGTCAAGCACGTTTATTTGCATGTGGAGAAAGAATCAGATGATCCTTCCACATGCCACCGAATAAGAACAGAAACAGAATGAACTGGTAGCTGTTTTCGATTCATTTTTGTTTCTTCTCATCTCTTTCCTTCCATTTTGATTCATGCACAAGCAAAGTCTTCCTGTTCGAAGCCTTGGAAGCATGTACCGTGCGGAGAAATAGGCTTCATCGAGATTGTTTCGGAATTGACAGGATGTTATTGTGTTCCAAGAAGATAAAGAAGGGGTTTCCGCGTGATGGGAAGTTGAAAGAGTTTTTAATTGAGATCGATCACGATGGATGATAAGGTTTCGCACGGTGAGTAGTTGGGAGTCGGGAGTTTGATAAAGAGGGGTTTGAGTCAGGAGGAAGTGGGATGATGGTGGGATGGTGATCGTTTCGGGGATAAGCGGGGCTGACTAATATCCGCTGCTAGAAAAACGATGATTGGTTGACAATAGAAAATTATCACGTGTTTGAAGTAGAAACATAATTGTGGTGTTTGGGGTCGTGGAGAACGTGACATTTTGATGAGGCTAAAATGTGGTTGATGCGAGAGCCATATCAGTTTCAGAAAGTGCTTCATCCTATCCGGTATTCACGCCCAGCTGTGCCAAACATGTTCATGCATAATTCATAAGCCTCCAGTTCAAATCATGGCATTACTATTATATCTCATGCATTTTAAATGCTAACCTTAATCATACTCAGCCCCTATTAAATCAATCGTCGGTATAGTCGTTGGTGCGGAAAGCGTAGAAGCTGCTGTAGAAGCCACTTTAGAGACTACCCCAGATGCTTCTTTCTTTATAGTATCCGAAGTGATAAGCCCCACATGCCTCAATTTTTCAAGCACATCCGAAAACTGCCATCCCGGATCGCTTCCTCTCAAAAATCGTTCCGTTTGTATCCATTTCTCAACCGTCTCTAATAGTTCCTCGCTTACTTGTCTCCTCTTTGCAGCGTAAGGCAATGCCATTCTCACTAGTTTCTTTGGCCATGTCGTCCAAATGAAAAATGGACTTTCTTCCACCCACTCGGATGGTTCTTTCAGAATCTCTCGCTTTTCCGGTTTGTCGCTCTCGATGAATTCTTCGTAGTCTAAGGCCATGTTGTAAAGTACGTACGCAAGTCCAACAGTAAGTATGGCATTAGCGAGGAAGAAGAACCATGTGAAAAAGGTTTTTGTTTTGGCGTTGCTTGTGTTTCTGTTTTGACTGTAGGGCGAATTAACAATGACGTTGGAAAATGATAGTGGCAAAGCTCGAATTTGAGCATTGGATCCAAGCCTATTGTCCGTATTGTGAGCTATTCGGAGAAGCTCATTGTCGATTACCTCTCCATCATCATCCTCCTCTGAATAATCTCTAGGATCATCGGCAGGTCTTGGTATCGGAACCGGTTCTTGCATAATCTACACAATGACATCTGATAGCGATTGGCCCGGGGGAATTTCAAATTTCTCCCTGGTGGGAATGACATATTCATCCCAATCGTCTTTCAGATGCTTCAGCGCACCCAGCCACTGCTCCTTCATTTGAATTCCATAGTGCATCGGCATGAGATCCCGAGTGATTTGACTACGTGCAGGGGAAACGAGCTTATAATCCCAGTCTTCAATCTCCATTGCATCGATAAGGTTGAGTCTAGGCTTACAATTATCATCTAGGATGATGATTCCTGGTTCCACCATAGTCTGTTCTATATCTTTCAGCACTCGTTCTCGAATCTCTCTTAGCTTTTCCCATGGTATGGGCGGAGGAGCAGGAGCAACTATCAAATCTCTTTCCGCTATTCCCTCAGCTGATGGGGGATCATTGAAATAAAAGCTGGACCGAAAGAAAGTGACATTGGTGTCGGGAAGTATTTGATCCTTAATTTCGCCAAGGGCGCCCACTCCAATATTGGGGAAAGCCACAATGACCTTGGCTTGCTGTATGAATTCACCTCTTGCCATTTTCCTATTGCCCTTGCACCCAATCAAATCAAATTTTGGTGATTTGCGACGGACGGGCCTTCGATGAGATCCGATATGTTGAAATTGGTGAGATGCCAAAAACTACGTCCATACATTTTCATTGAGATAAGGAGATATCTTACGGTTTTTGCTTAAGGAGTCTTTGTTGACATTGGCCAAGCAACAAAGAGCATAGCTTCTATTAAGGAGAAAGGTTGGTGATTAGCCCTCAGTCTTTGTTATATGGAAGTCGGAATATATATGTGAATGAAAATAATTTAGCGAGTCCGCAAACGGGACTAGTACTATTGTAGAGTAGGTTCAGCGACCTCGGGAAGATTTCTTTTGCTAATACACAGAATTTTAATTTAGTCGGAACTGACGATTTCAGTTGACCCTGCACGCATTGTGAAATTCCATGGATAGCACGGAATTTTACTTGTGATCAACGAGTGATATAAATCGGAAACAAGGTAATAGGAAGCCCAAGTTGACAAATCATTGCTTGATGCTACAATTTTCTACTTCCCTTGAACAATCCTCAACACCAGCTGTTTTCTAATTTACGTATTCCACTTCGATTTCGATTTCCAATAGCCTGTGTTGTAGTCAAACATGAATAGATCTCGCATGGTGTGTCTATTTCGTGCCTTCATCACTCTGTGTCGATGCCTCATCCACGGGCAACTCAACGTCCTCAGTTCCATGAAGCTCAATAGTCTCAACAGACATCTGCTTCTCATGTAGTCCCGAATTTCTACTATCCAAGCACGTAACCTCCTCAGGAGCTTGATCAGCAAGACCCTTTTCCATCCCATCCTCATCATTTATAGCTGTTTCTTTTGCTGCCTGGTCCTCAGATTCGACCGCCAATTGGTCGACCCAAGTCTGAACAATATTTGCATCCCATGGAATTCCAACGACTTCGCCCATTATTACAACTGCAATCAAGCACATTTGAATATATTCATGCCAGCAATTTCTCAAGCTGCAAACTTTGTCAAAAAACCCCAACACCTGCATCGTATCCACAATCACTCGTCCAAGATGTGATGTACAAATCAGAATAGATGAAGTGATCCATTCTGTTTGCTTTGGAAATGCCTTGTGTCGACATAGCTTGATAGAGAAACCAAGCGTTAGAGGAGCCCAGAATGGGTAGATTGGTGATAGGATCACAGTCATCCAGGAAAAAAGTGAACCCAAACCATGAGAAACGTATGGAATATGAATGATATCCGTCGCGATGAAGACAACGATTAAAACGAAAGCGAAAAGAAATGCAATCGCCGAAGCGGAAACTACCACGGCACGTTTGTGGATGGATGATTCAGACATATTCAGTTTGTGGAGGATAGCCAAAAATGTTGTTATGTTGAGAAGAGTTGAGAAAAAGAGAAAATAATTCTGGGTGTCGTCGTGGTTGAGTATCTATCACGGGAGTAACGGCACGATTACGTCAAATGCAACCTTGGCGATTCTTAGCTTATAATAGCGTGTTATTCAGTGGACCTAGTGTTATGCTGTGAGATTTAAGGCCATTAAGCTTCAATTTAAATGGATCTCTCGTATCAAAATTCGAACAATTGAGCGGGTAAATCCCTTAGTCTTGATCATGACTTGCGGATGATATGACAATCCCATATATTTCTGTAGGCTTGACGCTGGCTCCATTTTCGCTACCTCCAAGGAGAACTTCACAGCTCCTGCATAAAACAGAGTTTCTTGATTCAGCTTGTATGTTACTCCGGTTCCATTGATGCACACCTTCATCGTCATCGTCAACGGTAACCGCAAACTTTCGAAGCATCTTAATCTCCTAGTCATGGCGCAGTTGAGAGTTCAAGCAATCAAATCTCTCGAAGCTTTTCGTACTTAAGCGTCTCCATCTCAATTAGCGACCTTTCGAATGATGTCATTGGCACTCAACAGCAATTCCTCCCTTATCAGACTCCTTCTCTCGTTGTTCCTCAACCTTTCTTTGCTCGTTTCTGTCGGCAGATGTAGCCCACCAATCATCTAGCATCTCATCAATCGATCCTTCATCAATATCCCATTCTGAGCCCCATATCAGAAGAGCCAAAATAATTAGTCCAGTCTCCGTCCAAACCGTCCATTGCCCGACAAAGTCCCCATTCATGCTCCAGAATGTCAGTAATACCCGCGGTAGTGATCGGCTCAGAAGTTGTATGATATTTGCTATATTAACAACATTGCTAGCTGCACTCGTTTTCCATTTTTGGTGAGATAAGAACCGTAGGTTGATGTAAAAGTTGATGGGTACAAGAAAGGGTATGAATGGCCCGATGAGAGTGTGAACGGTTTCATAGATTTGACTGAGTTGAGTAGCCATATAGTCTGGTGGATTGAATTCTGGACTTAACTCTCATTGTGACAGCAACTGCATCTATATCTGAGACTGTTCAGAAAGCTACTAGGTAAGTGTACCGGTTTTCTGATATTTCCAAGTTGTCGTGAGGATGCAGGTGCTCATAAATGCGGGGTGGCTTGAATGCTGCGCCATAGAGGATTCCCTACCTTGAGAGGCACCTGGCCCAGGTGATACGTGAAAATATTATAAAATGACTTGATACTCAAGATAATTGGGATAATCTCTCTCGTATACCGGTGATCGATCAGAGTATCAAGCAAAAGCCTGCAAGCTGGGGACATAGATATAGATTCTACTTATTAGCTAGCGACATCAGAGCTAAAGTGGCAATGTTGAATGCAGATTGATTCCACAAACCAAAGTATCAGCAAGCCTAATACATGCAGGAAGAATAGTATCGGAACAATGGACATCCTACCCCTGTGAGACGCCAACCAGGTGCGATGGTAGGGTTTATTCTGTGACGTTTTTAGGGATGGAGTGAATGAATGAATGAATCAATGAATGATTAGTTGCTCGAGGATGGAGATTGTGGTATACTCGTTCGCGTGGAAGCTGGAGGAGAGGAGAGAAGAGAAGATGGATAATTTTGATTTATTGATTTATTGAGATTTAGGTTTAGATTTAGAGTGAGAGGAGCGCGAAGAGAAGATTTTGGGATGGTTCTGTCTGGGGTATGTGGTATGGTATGTTGGAGAATTGATGGATGTATGGGTGGATGGATAAAGTATCTGGAGTTGAATATATATGTTTGAGGTTGTGGTAGGTTATTATGGTGGGGTGGGGTGGGATGGAGATTGTTGATTCGGGTTGTGATGTGATGGTGATGTTGATTTATTCATTGCTGTGAGTTTAATCTTGGGGATTTGGGGATTTATTTTGTCGGGGGATTGAAATGGTATATAGGTAGGTATGTATATGTTCAGAAGTCATCTCCGCTGGGAATTATAATTTTTTCCTCTTGTGATGTCACGCATGTTCTAATGATTTATATTACTATTCAGTCGATCAGATTCATTCAAAGGTTTCCTTGTCTCTTTAGAGACTCAGATTGCAATCTACTATAAATGTTCATATGAAGACTTGTTTTATATATCGGATAGATCTTTTAGCTTGTTTTTGATTATTTCGAATATAATTCCCAAAGAAGGATTTGTTTTAGAAATCATTTAGTAATAATTAAAGCAACAAGATAATCAAGTTGTCGAATACTCAAGTAGTTACAGAGATTTCTAGAATCTAAGTTTATAATATAAGCTATTGATTATCCCATATGCAGATCTCCATAAAGCTTTACTATAAGAGTCGCTCCACTCGTCGAAAAAAGCGACGATTAGACTAAGAGTAGATCGGATCTTTAATCAAGTCACGTAAGGCTATAGGCTATATCAACTTCAGAATTTTCGGCTATTGGTCACGGTATTCGTATCAGAGATGTTATTTACATAAGCTGATCATCACTTAACGATTCATATTTGTTCTTTAAAAAAAATCTATTCTATTATATCTAAGAAATTTCGACCTACGGAATTATATAACAGTACAATACATACCTGTCATATCTCCCCTCCAAATCCCCAGCAGTTGTCACCCCTCAAAATCCCTCCACTCTCAAAATCTTCAACAAAAGACAAAGGAAACAATGCATCAGCACCGCCACCACGACCACCAAAGCCATCTTCAACAACCTCACAAACTCCTCCCACGATTCCAAAGCCCCCTGAACCACTCCCTCCCTGACCCCTTCATCACGCCTCCTATCAAACTCGGCCCAAAACATCTGCATCTGCGTCTGCAGTTGCTGGTTCCTCATCTCCAGAAGCTCGATGCGCTCGGCTTGATGAGTGAGTTGGCGTGCGTGCGATGAGATGGGGTTGTGAAATTCGCGCGCTTGAGTGCGCAGGAGGAGGAGCTCGGTGAGCTCGGCGCTGGTGGCTTGGGCTTGGGTTATTGGGGGGGGAGGTGGGGGAGGGGGTACGGGTGTAGGGGGTGGGGTTGGGGGATTGGAGTCCATGGTTTGAGGTGGGAATGGGGGGATTGCTTGTTGGACTATGTTTACGGAGTGGTTTAATACTGGAGTTTGTTTAGTTCAATTCTGGGGGATGGGTATGGTGAGTGAGTATATTTCTCCATGATGCGGTGAGGAAAATGAGGATTCAAAGAATTTATAGTCGTGAATTTTTATTGTTTGGACATTGTTACTGATTTGTTCGCTCGAGGTATTTTTTGAGAGTTCGAAGTACGATATCGTAATGTCTAGCTCCTAAAATCGATTGTAAAATATGATTGATCGCCTCAAAAGAATGTCTCGTTCACAGCATCTTTCCTTCGTTATTTCGCTTATGTTTATATCCCTCTTATTGCACAGCAACCGCTTCAATTTAAAGTATGAAAGTTGATGTATCTCCAGATTTCCTAGTAAGAATATCGAATCGATAATGTTTAGTGCTTCGAGTCGTTTGCAGTATCAAGCTGATAAGGGTTAAATCATAGGATTTTACGGGAAATTTATTGTCAGCTTCTTATTCTATGTGACATGATCTTTTCCACGCATATTAGGGACTTCCTATTTGCTGAGATCACCTATGTCAATTAGCTCCAAATGATTTCCAAAATAAGAACGTGACATAGATTGTACAGCAGTATTCCAGAAAACAATACACCTTACTATAAGCAAAATTCACAATGGCTTGATTGGCCCTTCCCGATCTGTTTCGTGCGTTTCTATCATTTTCTTGTGCAACTTTTATGTCATTCTCTGCGTCTCGGATTCTTCCAAGATCTTTGCAGTTTTCACGATGGGATTTTGCGTGAGAGCTCGGAAACCTGGTTTTTGTGGATTTGATGATGTGAAAATTCATATTAAGTAGTTTCAACTTGTGTCTTTGGGCTTGTTCGCGTAATTTTCCTGATTGCGGGGCTGTTCACTGATGGAATGGTCGGAGAAGGGTAAGCTAGGGATATAGAGGTTGAGACAATCCTCGTGTTATTCCATGCAAGTTGTTTGTTGTTTGTGTAGATGTTAGGAAATCTCAGTGTTGAATAATAGTATGTTTCCAGGAGCCGAGTTGTAACACATGAGAACATCTAGGGAATTTCGATCACAGACTCTATTAATGAGCTGAGTATATCTCTGGCTCATTTTGTCTGATCGTCCAAAATTCTCAAAGTTTTCAATCAATTCCATATTACCATCCTCTTCAAGGTAACACCTATTCATGTCAAAGCAAGTTCATTAGTCATTTAGCATTAACACTCAGCACAAAGAGTAATGTGGTTATTTATCTTGAATGTATTGATATTAATAAAATTGAGGGAAATTCTCCAAACATTTGAAACATCCCCAGAGTATCTCAATCAAAGCGCGTAATTGATCGGGACGAAAAACAAAAAGCACAAGAAAAGCTTCTAATACATTCTTAACGAAGTTTCCGGCTGCCGAAAAGAAAGAGTGGCTGAGAATAGAAAATATAAGAGCCCCGATGAGTACAGAAACCGGAATAATGTATCTCTGGAACATTTCATTGTCTTTTCTTGATTGCTTGTGTTGTTCGTCTATTTCCTGTGTTGTTTCTGGGGATTCATCTTGTGATTGTGGAGGTGTATCATATTCCGGGATAGGCTCCTGTGGATTGCTTAAATTTTCTTCAAAAGGTTCGTTCTGGAATTTAGGGAATTTCTTTTTGGGTTGCATTGACCTCTCCCATTCAGTGAGAAAGTTCCAGTCGGTGAATTCTGGAGTTGGTCTTCTTCGTACTCGGCTATCTGTTCCAGCAGATTGTGCAAGATATTGGAAGTATTGAGCTTCAGCGTTCATGATCGCGGTTTTGTTCAGTGATTGTTCTTCTCTTTTTAGGAATTCCCGAAAAGTATTGAGAAGTATTTATATTTCCAGAAACTTCTTACTCATATTAAGCTATACAATAACCAATAAAGGCCTTTGTGAAGTTGCTTAAAATAAATCCAATATTCTTGTTTTTTTGGAATGATGTTGAGAGTGTAAGAGAATGTCTCTGTCTGGTGACATCACAAAGAAGCTGACTATTTTGAGCTGGAGAGAAGTAAACTATTTATTTGTGGATGAAGAACGAGCACCTGTTGTTGAGATTATCCCATCGATAAAGAGAAATCCCTAATTCGAGATAAAGAACAAAGGGATTTTGTTTGATGTAAAAATGGACCATGAGACTCGAATTTACAACCCAAACCCAAACAACAAACTCAGTTGTACGATTCAAATTTGGTTAATGAAAGACTTTACAACTTCCTTTCGGTATGCCAACCCCTTTCGGTTATCGCTTCTATAATGTTGAAGACTGGAGATGGCGCGAAACTGCTTCCATCTTTCTTGCGACTCATATTTACTATTGAGATGGAATAGTCATGATTAATAAAATCTAGTTGGTCAATTGCGATACAAAGAATGTTTTAAAGTGATAGAGTTAGATATCGTATGCGTGGAATTAATTGGACCAACTTAGTCAAGAGCGGAGACAGCTGGATCGAGAACTACCCCTTCAACTGTTCAACGAATTCGATCTCATCTGCAGTTTCATATAAGAACTGAGAAAGGGTAAAGAATATCATTGATTCTAGAGATATGAGATGATGGAATCGAGAACAATAAACGAACAATTCCCTCGAAATTCATTATTAAAACCCAATACCCTTTGTTCGAACCTCGAATAATCCTTCACTAGCTATTAGAAATATCATATCAGCTTACATACTCACAGGAACTCTCACGCTAACCAAAAACTCCATCCACAAAGATGTGTCTCTCAATCTGCCACGCCCATACTTGTCCACATTTGTCGTACATTAATCATCTTTGCGAACCTAATGCCTACCCTCCAACTTGTCCGTTCCGCAAAGAGGAAACAAAACACTTGGAAAGAAAATGTATTCGCTGTTTGAAGGAGGACGGAATCTATATCAAAAAAGAATCTCTTCAGAAAGCAAAGACAAGAAGACTGAGTGAAGCGGCCGCAATCAGAGAAGGTACAATTCTTACTCTTAAGAGATTAGAACAAGCAGAAGAGTTTGTGAGAGAAGAAAAGAGGCAAAATATGATAAGAAGAAGACACACGGAGAAGGTTGATAAGACGCGCAAGTGTGTGATTATGTGAGGGTGATGAGTTTGAAAATAACGTGATCAGGAGGGGTGGGTGGAAACTAATTCACCTATGAACGCACTCATCAGAAAGAAGTAACGAAACCGCTCCACTAGTCATGACTTCAATACAAATATTTCCACGAAAGAAGAAACCACTTTGACCAGAATGTGCTGTGAGACTCAATCATATGAAGAACTGACAGAAGATTGCATTGTGACTGGATCGAGAGGTCCTCGTGATTAAGCGAACTGCCCCTGGACTATTCTTGATGATGTATCAAACAGCTCAGCAAGATCACCTTCCAACCCAAGCACATATACGGAATATCACTGGAGCTTGCATATTGACTGCCTCGGCTACCTAGGATCGACTCCAATTGAGAGGTAAAAGAATAAGAAGTTGCCGTGGTTTATCCGGTGTTTAAACCGATTCACGATGACGTCTTTTTAATATGGTCCTAGGATTATATCTAACATCGTGTCATACAATACCTACCTAGGTTAGTACCTGGGTGTATAATTTCATTACGAAACACCAAGAAGCTACGATTCTGGTACGATTTTCGAAATCCGGCTTACATGGTGTATATACCGGCATATGCGGCCCGCAAAAGTGGGGTAGCTAAACGCATGATCTGTTCCTTCCTTGTCCTACATCATGACTACTATAAATGGATGGAGAGAATATCTATTGTCTGAAGTAACTGAAGTTTACTTCTCCCGACCTGTGGTGCTATTCAAGATCAAAACTATTACACACTCACGAAATACAACCCATACAAAACAATATGTCTCCCACCAAAGAACCCTTCACCATAACTGCCTCTCCATCAACCGACATCTGGCGCAAGCCTCCTACCACAGATGTCTTCAATGCACCCACCAACATGGCTTCGGCAATACCTCTCACCTCATTCTTTTCTTCCAAGATCACATTTTCCCTCCCTTGCAAATATCGCTACGACCAAGGTGGCCTTCTTCTCCATCTCACCAAAGCCGGTTCCAAAGATCGCTGGCTGAAGACTGGAGTTGAGTTTTATAATGGCAAACCATTTGTGAGCACTGTTGGATGTGACAATTTTGCGGATTGGAGCATCTATCCGACAGGTCTTGATCCGAGTGAAGACGTGGAGGTTACGGTTGAAGCGAGGAGAGAGGGGGACGAGAATGGAAAAAGTCTTTGGGTTTATTGGATCAAGGGCGAAGAGAGAATACCACTTAGAGAGGTGGCGTGGTTTTTTTCTGATGAAGATTGGGATATTGCAGTTGGGGCGATGGCTTGTAGACCTGCTAAAGCTGAGGCTACTAACGGAGAGAGTTTAGAAGTCAAATTTTGGGATTTCGAATTGAAACAGAATTGATTATCGGATTTTGTAAGAGATAGAATTAAAGGTTCTGAGCACGGAAATTGAGACGGTGAAGAAAGATGAAATGGATTGTGAAGAAATGAGATCCTTTTGGTTTCCTATGATGAGTATTACACTGCATACCAATTGATGGCATCAAGAACATAATACCAAACCGAAAAGTCCCAGAGAAGACATGAGATCACATGAGTTTCTTTTTGAATCGTGAATACTCTGATATTTAGATTATCCTCCTCAGAACAGTACTTTAAGAGAGAACAACCAGTGTTAACAATCATATTCATCCTGTCGATACACAGCTTGGAGCACCAGTGCGCAATTAAATTTCCAGTGCCATCCATCAGCAATATTTGCTCATGTCTGCAGTATAATGGATATTGCATTGTTATCAATTATCATTCCAGAATTTATTACACGCAAAACTAGCTCAACATGCAAGAACAGATCTAGAATAAGTCCAGGACAATCTGACACATCTAGTATAAGATGATAAGTTCTCTTACCTACAAATCATTATCTATCCCACAGCCTCTTGACTCTCACCCCAAACTGCAAAACTAAACGCAGACCGAACACCCAAGAGCCAACCCAAACCCCAACGCAAAGCAAAATAGCCGCCATGTGTACCGAAATCTGCACTCAATACGTTGAATGCGGCTGTCGCGAAGTCCGCATAGAACACTGCTTTTATCGATACGTACACAACTGCCCAATCCTAGAATGTATTGCCTACCGTACTATATTCCGTCGCAAGCCGGGTAAGTGCTATAATTGCGAACATATTACCGCACAAAATTGATTGAGCTGTATTTTCGATCTTTTTCTTTCTTTCTTTCTTTTCTTTTGCAAGTTGAGATGAGAATGGTAGGAGACGAGCGCACGTTTGAGGAGGTTGTAAGCGAAGAATAGATACCTATGTAGGTACCTAGGTGAGTAGATGCTGAGAAGTATCTACTACGAAGCGGTCTTAAAAATCCCCCAATGAAAAACACTTTTTTAAAGAACACTTTGAATATAAACAATGACCTACGATAAAAAATTGGTGTGATAAATATGATATCAATAAGTACCTAGTCATGAAGTAGCTAACCTGAGATTAAATAGTTGATAGAAGACTGAGAGATGCGGGATATCAAAAAAAAACCTCAAAAAAAAGACGTTGTTTTGAACTTGTTCTCCCACAATTCCAATCTTATTTCTATGACACGCAAGTAAAAATCCAAGAATCAATACTAACATGAGAACTTTCATCATCTTCAAACAGGCTCAAAACAGTGCCAGGACAACCCCCAATTTGAGACATTAATACTTATCACACTTCCTTTCTACCCACCAAACTCTCAGTTCTCTAAGAAAATCAAATTCATCAAACATACCCAATATCAACGTCCCATAACACTTTAGCAGCACTCTTCCAAAATCGACCCAGTAACAACCCAAACCCAAAATTCAAAATGTGCGAAGACCAACACACCATCCACCTATCCTGCATGCATTCTTCCACACACGTGCAACACTGTCGTCAAGCCCCTATCAATCCATCCGACAGCACTCCTGACGCAAGCAGATGTTCATTCTATTGGCTTTCTATCGTTGAGAAGCGTAATTATTGTGCTATTTGTAGAAGAATTCGATGGATTCGAGTGACTAGATTTATGAGACGACGAACAGAGGGAGATGGGAGGGATGGAGCCGAGGGTCCATCCTCGGGATGTGTGATTTCTTGAGAAGGGGGAATTTGAGAGCATGAGGAGGAGAAAAGAAAGGTCTATGGGTGTGATGATTTGATAGATGCGATGTTTACTCCGCTTCTTTTTAATTTTATGTTCCATTTGTCGCCTTTTGAATAGACTGAGAATGAAAAATGAGGAGGAAAAAAAGTTAGCTCTGAAGGTAAAAGTAAAGAAACTATTGTGATTCGCATTGGTAACCTGACTCAAAAAATGACATGCATAGGTACTGTTGGTATGTGTTTTATGATATCAATAATCAAACATACGTTACGATTTCCTAAAGCTACCTATTCGAAGAAAAGAAAGAGAATCAAAGTGATCTAAATTCGCAACTTGAGATCAGCTTTACTGTATCCGTAGTTCTTTGCCTCAAACGCTGCGTATACACTATCAATCTCAGCTTTGTACATGTTTGTACAAATGGATCTAACAAGAGTTCCCTTAGCAGCTCTCTCAAACCTCTTATCCTTCTTCGCCACGAAAACCAAATGTCGCTCAACTCGAGCATGTGCTGGTACCGTATCATTAGCTTTTTGCACGTCCGGCCATACTTTTTCAATTAAATCTTCCTCCGTCAATTTCGAATCTTCTTTCGGTTCCAACAAGATTCCACACCGAGTTCTACCTGTTCCAAACACAAGACAGCCGTTAAGTAGCGGGTGCGATTGTAGTAGAGTTTCAATATGTACAGGGTTGACTTTGGCTGCATTGGAAAGGATGATAAGATCATCGATTCGGTTTTCGAATTTCCAAAGTGGACCAACCCCATTGGGAAGTGAACCTTCGTAGCGACGCAGAATATCCCTGGTCCTCCACTGGGTCTGATCAGGTGCCATATGAAAGACAGGTTGAGCCCAAGCAAGAGCTGGATCATCATACTTGTTTAAAATCAGTTCGCAAAGCGTAGAGTCATCATTCACTGGCTCGAATTCCGGTAAGAATTGGGGGTGAAATTCGAGATGTGACCAATGTGATTTGGGTGGTACAAGAAGTGGCAATTGGGCGGATTCAGTCGACCCAAAAATTTGCCACAGTACTGCGTCGGTATTGTCGATAATGAAGTCTCCTGTTTTCTGTGAAAGTGGACCTATTTCTCGATTAAAAATGAACCCAAGAGCGAATTGAAGAATTTTTGCTTACCCCCAAGCCAGCAAATATGTTTCAAAGCCGCGATTTCTTCTTCAAGGCCCTCGCTATGATTCAAGAACAATTGCTCTGTAACGCTTGGAACCTCTATGAGTCCATGAATTGGAAGAGTCTTCATGATATCATGGAGTATTCTCCCACTAGACAGTTCGTTCGGTGGGCCACGAACCAAGGTTGAACCTAAGACGATCGTTGAGAATGCCAGGCCAAGTCCAGATGCATGCGAGAAGCTACATCCACTCAAGAGCAGTTTGTCTTTTTCTACAAACTTGAAGCCTGCAATTGCTCGTCCGGGTACATCAGGTAACAATATACTGCTGTTGATGAAACCACTGATGTACCCATGGCTGCAATTCTTTGGCTTTGGTGCACCCGTAGAACCCGACGTATGAATAATGAGTGCGAGCTCATTATGATGTGTATCCCAGTTTTTCGTGTAAGGGTAAGGCTTGCTTTTTGTGTTTATTATCTCCTGTAGCGTCGGTATCTCGTGCTTGTCTAAAGTTGGGATCACCTCCAAAATTCGTGCAGCAAGATCTGAATATTGCGATGTGTAGAAAAGCTTTGTGCTTTTAGTCGCCTTGAGCAATGAAACTGTGTTTGCTAATGCATTTCCAGCCCTTGGTAATAGCAGCGGGTTTCCAGTTTTCATACAAGCAATCTCAATGATCGGATAGCGAAAATCTTGAGATCCAATAAACGCGAAAGTCTCAGTCAATGAAGATTTCAACTTATAAGAATCAATCCAATGAGCTAGGAAGTCCACGCCGCACAAGAACTGCCCAGCATTGACTTCGTTGAATCCCTCGGATATGTCAGATGTCTTGGCCACCATTGCCATGATTCTTTGAGGATTTTCACGTGCCTCTTCCTCGAGAATATGAGGAATGAGCCTGTTGGCACGTTTGAATTCTGCATCGGAAGGATGTCTCTCAATTTTATACGAGACTTGGTGTTCATTTCTCAGATTTGTTATGATTTGTGTTGCTGAGACCATGTTGGATGCTGATGCTGCGAATTATGATAGAAAGGAAATACAGAGGATGTCCAGGTATAAGTACATATTCTCGACAACATAGTATTGATCAACCATCATGATTCAAACAGGTTTTCGAAACGGGACGGGAAAGTTTCATTCCCGACCTCGGTAATGCAAGCACATCTCTTTTCGTTGTAACCATATATATTGTCGATTCGCGAATGAACACAGAGTACGGAGCACATACACACTACACAGTGAACTTCGAGTGACCGTTAGACAATAACTACGAGTGCAGCCATTAACTAGAAAACTGTTATGTTTAACATCAACTACCACATACTTTATTCTCGCTCTACCACAGCGACGATAGATGTAACAATTCCTTTGTGACAAGTTAGGTATGGTAAACAGAAGGTGTGTCTCACAATGCGACTTGTACTATACCCGAAGCTTGTAGTCTGATGAGCGATGTTGATCCCCCTGCATATCTGTGAGAGTCATTGCCTGTTTAGAAAGCGCTATCCATATTGTTTACTGCCTCTCTTTACAGTAGTCTTTGAAGTAATAGATCTGAGGTATCGTTTCCATGCCACCTTAACAAACACAGAATGGTTCATCTACCAATTGAACATTTTGACCAAGTAAGCCACTGAGTCCATTTCAGTGAAGATCTTGTAGAACTCTCCTCTCCAAGGCTAAGAGCGGTGAACTATAGATCGTTCAATGGGCTAGGGCGTTCAGCTGGTAGGTAGGTAAACCCTTCAAATGTCAAATGTCAAATGTCAAAGACTTCAATAGCGGCATGTCATCGATAGTTTTCCTTTCAGATCAAGAAAAGATAGGTTTCGAGGACGACCATGTGTCTTGGAAACATTTATTTTTGGTCAAGCCACAGGTGTCGTGGTGTCACTTGTGCAGAAGGTATCAGATGGATCCATGGATGGATGTTAAGATAAGAATTGGCGTACAGTCAGCAATCCCTCAGGCTCCTTCGGCGACCCTAAAAATATCAAGCAACGCTAAACACCCTTGCAACATGAACGTCACCGACCCCAAAGAACATCATTCCTTCTACCCCACAAAATGAAGCCCGAGCAAAAGTTTAATGAGCTACCAGGCATATAAGAATAATAAAGAACAGTCGCAACGTTATGGAAAAAGATTTCAATCTATAACAAACCCAGATCAATACCTGCCACTTCAGTCCGCAAAAACCAAAACTATCTTACAATGTGTAGACAAGCAAGCTGCCCGACCTGTCGTATGTTTCTCACCCCGCCCTCTTCTCATCTTACATCATACTAACACTGGCGGGCGGCAGAGAAGGAAACTTGGTTCGGCTGCGCTCTACATTTACCTTCCGTCTTCTCTTCGATCCCTGCCGATCAAGAATGTACCTGCATACCAAAGTTTGAGAAGGACGGGGTCCAATATCCACCGAAAGCTGGTACCGGCATAGCACAGGATGCCGGAGAGGAGGGGGATGTTGTTATACACGATTTGAAGCGCGGTACATGACTAGCCGATCTGCTAAAGATACTTGTACCAGTCGGCTTGGGGGCTATAGTTTGGATTTGGTGGTCATAAATTTCTAAGGGATATTAGGGTGGGTGGTGTTGACATTTGGCGTCAATCTTTGCGGGTTGCCAAAGCAGGGTGCAGTCGATGCTGGTATGTAAGAACTGGCAAACTGGGTAGATTTCAGGATAAGTGACTCCCAAGCGTTTAACAAAACCGCTTCTCAATCACAACACATGTGCCATGCATGCTCGCGCCTCCTGAGTGTGTCTTGACAGATATATGTCTTCACTAAAGCGCGCTGAATTTGAAACCCATTTCAAATTACAAGCGTTTCTAGAGAATTGGGAATTTCGGTTTCGTACATTGAAGAGGGAACGCTTTGGAGGTCGGACGATGCGCGTTGTCTGTAACTTCTTCATTATCATCGTCTCCTGATGAGCATCGAGTGAGGCAACATGAGGACACTTACCTATGTATGCTCCCAATTCTTGTCCAACGCACTTTCAAAAAGAATTATTGAGAACATTCACTGTATCAATTTCCACTAGCCCGTTTTTTTAAATATATACTTCGCGCCCCGTCAAACTCTTTTCACAACCATTCTCAAACTTTACAACTCCAAAGGAGTGTGGTTTGGCTGCCGATTTGATCCCGATTTCACAACGAATCTTACCCAAACTCAACTCGACAACGGCCAAAAATGGAACTCAATCAGTCTCTTGGGTTAGTCAACGGATACTCCAATAAATTTGTGATATTTCCAGCCTAAATTGACGTTTTGATTAGAAAAAGTATCCAGATCAATGTCGGCAACTCTGAATATCACGTCCACGAAGAGCTGTTGCGCAAAAACACGAAATTTTTCGACATCTACGAACGCAGAAGGGTGATGCACATAGATATAGGATCTGAAATGTTTGACTCCTTTATTCAGTGGCTCTATATTCGAGGTCTCTTCAAACATCCAACTGGTGGCGTCCGGGTGATTCTAGAATTATGGTTCTTTGCTGCTAAAATTTCCTGCCCAGAGCTTCAGAACTACGCCATGGATTGGATTCAGGACTATCAAGATGATTGGATGGAGGAATCGGATTTAATATACGTTTTTGAGACGGCAAAGGATGGTGGTGGGCATAATGCTTTAGAGGACTTCTGTGCTGCTACGCTTCGTGAGAAAAACGCTGGGGACTTCGAAACGGTTCGTGATTTTATTCAAGCAGTTCCAGTCGCCCTTGGTCCATATCTTTATTATGAAAGTATTTGTGACATTGACCAGCTGCGCTTCGACCCCACATGCCGAGACAAAAATCATCTTTGCAGATTCCACATTCACAACGACGATGACAAGATCTGCGAATCTAAACCAAACGCTTAGTAAAATCTGGGCTTACATTTCGTTGGTGGATATCTCTGGTTTGTTTTTCTTCCGCTGCTTGCTTCGCTTAACTCTCTTTGCTGACCCATCCTTAGAGTCTCTTGATAGGCTTGAGAAACCGTCAAAAGTCTTGGGATTCGCTACAACTTCGATGACCGACTTCAAGCAGCTCGTTGCATCTATTCATACTGCTAGGGAGAGGCGTTCATTCATCTGGTAGATACAAAAAGCAATGTAATTCATCATCAAGTCTCTAGAATTCATCAAGTTTCTTGCATCAAATCTGTGAAAACATTCCCCTCTGGCAGCCTCTTTTCTGCTGCATCTTCTCATGATAACAATAGTGACTCACAAAACCGCCTCACTACGCATTTTGCATCGAACACTCATAGTATAGATAAAATTCTATACCGGCTTCGATGGGGTCGTGCTTTGCACATATTGTTCTAGAGCCTGTGCTGTAGAATCCTACTCCGTTTGTAATCTTTGAGTTGCTGGAGGGGATATGCTGTAAGCCTCCCCCGGCACCAAATGTAAGCCATACAACCATATAATCTGACCTAGTTCAACAGAAAAACAATCTTATAACCTGGCAATGCAAAGGTCTCGGTATGATAATTTTCTCGCAGTCTGGAAAACATTCGAAATAAATACTGACCCAGTGCGCTCACCTTTTACAATGGCCTATGTCCACTTCATTAATCTACGCTAGCGTTCTATTCGTTAAGCGATCTCAGTTTTGTTTCGTTTTTCAACTTCATAGGGATTTTTTGTTTCGTGGCAATCAGTGATCTTTGGGAATCAACCTTAAGAAGGCGAGGAAATGGAGGTTCACAAGTAAGTGCACACCCCCCTTCTCCCCTCAACCAGCTCCAATCCATGCGGTCCAAACTCACAATGAATCGCCAGCGACACAATCTAGATCCAAGTTATCGGAAACTCCTACGAGGTCAAAGTGGAATTATTGCGTGAAGATACGAAATTCTTCGAAGCTTTTCCATACAAAAAAACTATCGAGGTCACTGAGGGAGCTGAGGCGATCGATTTTTTTGTCCAATGGCTCTATACCCCAGGACGATTCTTCAGGGTACCAGAAATCAAGACAGTGCTGGAATTATGGTTGTTTGCCGAAAAAATTGAGTGCACAAAGCTCCAGAACTATAGCATGAATTTTATTCAAAAGTACTACGGTCAGGATGATGAGTTCATGGGTCCCTGTAGACTTGGAATACGTTGCTGGCGCCACTAAGCACGATAACGGTGATTGGAATCTTTTACGGGAATTCTGTGCTTTACAACTTCACTACCAAACGGCACACAAGATCACGATTCTGTTCGCCAGGCTCTCCTTCATTCCTCGGATATAATTGATCTATATCTCGAATATGAAGCCGTGTACTGTTTGGACACAGAGTCTGACCCCAGAAATCGCAAAAAGTCTCCTTGCCGATTCCATGTCCACTATACCGATAAAGATCGCGAGGACTGCCAATTGAAGCTCGAATAGCTTCAATATTTTCCAGATTGCGTTGAATCAGTTAGGTCTCTCGGTGTGCCCCTTTGCTACCCGTCTTCCGCAGAGAACGTTTGCTGACTTATCATTCCCCGTTTTTCTAGACTTTAAGGAAGCCAATACTCGTCAACAAAATGTGGTTTCTTGCACAAAATCGACAGTACCACGCGGATTTGGTTTAATTCTATCATGCGTCTCAAATGAAAGCGGCAGTCAGAGATGAAGCTCGGTGACGGTCATGGAATGCTGTACTGTCGCGGCGCACTCAAAAATTTCTCTTGTTCTCTTATGGTCTTCAAAAGATCCTATGAGATGAATCATATCATCCTCAGTATGATATGATAATGAAGAATATTATCAAATTCTCTAAAATGGGATAACTCTGAAGCGCCAACATGTGATAACCATCCTTCCTGTCCCTTTAACTTCACATCCCCTGACTACCTAGGTATCTAAGCATACCTCTTACAAAGCTTCACAGAAAGATTGATTTTAAATCAAAGAAACCGTTTCCCTCACCGATATGGAATGGTCATAGTGATAAAAACACTCCTAGCACTGACTTTATCCAAGAAAACAATACGCTTAGTCCAATTAATTCACCTAATCAATCTCTGCTGGGTTTGATCTGTAATAATGATACTACAGTCCTCCATCATTTGTGTTGCGGATTTCCGACAGAAGCTTCACTTACATTCAAAGATTTATCACCACCCTTCGCTGCAAAATGTTCACTGTAGGGTCAGATTTATAACAACTTACGCCTCACTTTCGATTGGGACTAATGTTATTCACTATATTTATCCAAATTAAGTATTTATTAGTCGTACTTTGCTCTTCACAAAGGTCAACTTGTACCCAAAAAGAATCTCCTTCGCTTTACAACTTCAAAAGAAACGCGCAGCTTTATATTGTATCTCGATATTTTGAAGAAGAACTTTCAAGCAACAAGAAGATGGATCTTACGCAGCCCACTGGGTAAGTTCATGCTCTTTAGTAGGGGTATTGTTAAGGGTTTCAAGCTCACAATATACAGGAACATGGTCACCGTTTATATCGATGACGAATCCTATCACATCCACGAGAACTTGTTGATGAAAGATATGAATTTCTTCGGCGCCTTTCAGGAACGCGGCTCGATCTCCGTGGATGAAGAACCTGATGTGTTCGACGCCTTTGTCCAATGGCTTTATGCGCGACATCTTGTCAAAGACCGAGTATCAAATTCGCTCTCAAATTATGGACTTTTGGCCACAGCATCTCTTGCAACAAACTCCAAAATTGCGTTATGGATTATATTCAAGACTATTATCTGTTCAATAGTGAGTGTATGGTTGTGGCAGAGGTTAAATACATTTTCCGGGAAGGACCAGCTTTGAGGTCTGAAAATATCTTACAAACCTTCTGTGTTGCTCAGCTTCACTATCAAACTCAAGAGATGAACTATGTCAGCGTTCGAGATATACTTTTAGAAGTCCCTGCTGTTGTTGGATCATACTTGAAGTTTGAGTGTGACAACTTATCCGATATAGTCGACTACAATCCTAAGTACCGAGGTCCCCGTGAAGGTCGCTGGTGCACTTTTCATATTCACGATCAAGGAAACGAGAAAGACTGCGCAATGAAACCCAATAATTACGACAACCCAAGTTAGATGCCATCTAGCTTGAACACGAATGACTGTGCGGTAATTCTTCTCATTATGGTTTAGAGAGAGCTTTTTGCTCATTCAGAACTAGGGTTTTCTTTGGGACTTTGCCAGCTTGGTAGACTCAGGAGATACTGGGAATCATGGGAATTTCACTCTCATCGAATAACAGATTGTTACAGAGTGGGCGATACGACTGCACACACGTACCTCATTGATACCTCGGACTTTAGTTCACATGGCAGAAACGGAAGAAAATAAAAACATTATCAGATTATTAGAACTAGTATCTCAAGTACGAAGTGTCAAATGTGTAGAAGTTCCAGTCCATCCAACACCACACCGTTCTCTCATCATCTCTCCAGCAGTCTCTCTCATCCCTTCCCTTCCTGAAATCCAACATCCATAGCTCGAAAAATTACCATTCTCGTATCCCTCTTCTAACAATTATAATTCAAATACACACCCCGAGCACCCGCCCCATTCAAAGCATTAACATACTCAGTCCAGCTCACACTACCCTGTCCACGAACCCAATCCGCATATCTGAACACAAACGCCAATCCCTGACCACTACCCCCATTGCAAGCCTGGGTATTGATAACAACACTCTGTCCACTTGCAGGAGTAACAGAGCCGAAAATACCAGAATTGATTTTAGGACTGATATTGTTGAATGTTGGACCGTTGGGAAGAGGTGTAGAAACGGTGAAGACGTCGAGAGCTGGAGAGATACCGGTGATGGATGGTGCGTAGTCTGAGGGGAAAGTGAGAGTAAGGGAACAGCCGTAGGATCCGGCTGGGAGAGGAGGGAATGAGATCAGTTCCCAGAATTGATTGGAGGGGTTACCTAGGGGATGTGTTAATTTGGATTCATGATGATATTCGGGAAAGGTATACATACCATTGGCATCAGCGTCCTGGCTAATCTTGACAGATTTATCTGTGTTCCATGTGTTTGGATAGGCGGTGTTCGGGTTTGCCTTGGAAAGTTGGACGATTTGATTTGGGAAGAGTTGTGTTCCGCAAGTACGTTTTTCGTTCAAGGCTTCTGGAACGGGAGAAGCTTGTACGAAGCTTGTCGCTCCGATGAGAAGAGAAAGAATAGTCTTGGAAAGCATATTGATTTAAAGATTAATTTCAAGTGAAGAATGGGAGTATGATTGTTTTTAAAGTTCTTGGACTCTGAGTAATGATGATGATGATGGAGAGAAAACAACATCTCCATCGATCCAGCAGCATCATTATATACCCAACCATCCAGAAGTAGCCTGATGCCACTGTCATCAACTGCTGAGAAAAATCATATGACGATCTCATGACTTTGCGGACGGATACGAAGAGGCTTGCTACAAGTGCTGATTTACACAAGGCTGATGCAGTACGGGATTCTTCATCAAGCTGAAAATATCATATGATGATCATGATTGTCATCTTTACATGATGTTATTAGCAAACTGGTGAGAGATAATGTTTCTGGTTTCTTTGTAGAGAGAGTTTTTATGACAAATCTAATGATTGATGTATGTAGCTGTGTAACTAAAGTCGGGTTGGACCACCAGTGAGAGTCGCGGGGTAAATGCTTGGCAGCTGCAAGGGAGTGAGATTTTGGGGAATTTTTACAACGGCTTGGGTGATGAGGCTGATGTGAGCTATTTTTGGAAGAGGGTAAGCAAACAGCAAACAACCTGCTGTCGGTGTAGTGAGGTTTGGGGGCTTTTTATTTGCTGTCCCGAGTATGAAAGCTGGTGGTCCGATAATAATCTGAACTCCCTTTCTCTCAGCCTCTCGGTAAGCGAGACATTTGACGATTTTCTATTGCGGTGCCAAGAGAAGTTCTCATGGGGCTCGTTTACTAGTGGGTAGAAGCACGATGTATGTTTTTATTTTAGTGGAAACGTGATGTGCCCAAAGGCTGAGTACATACAACATTGCCCAAGGACTTTTCGTTGCTGCGTACCGCCTTTCTCTGCAGATTTATCAGTTGGCAGTATTAATACTTTTTGGCCTGTCTTAGCCCACATTCTTTTTGGCGTCTGAAGCGATTTCAATTCGTAATGCCATTAACAAATTCTATTTTGGGGTTTGATCTATTTGAAAGATTCACAACGCTAGTTCTTTGAACGGTGAAACAAAGGCATGGATAATCGAGTTCAAATTCTTTTCGATAGCAATGTATCAGACGTAAAGATGCATGAATATATCTCTCTACTACTTGGCAAACCCTTTAAATAATATAAGTTCCACGTCGGGAGTAAAAAATTAACAGCTCTCCATATTGTGATAACTAGTTTGTGTGTAATAATTTCTGAAATTTGAGTCTCACCAACAATTTCGGCCATCTCTAAAGCAAATTGATGAGATACCGAGTCTGCTCAGCCCCCTATACGATCAAGTCAACTTCCATTATCTCAGATCACTTGATTCCATCTACCGATACACGGATCCACGTTCGCGTTCTCGGCTAGGTGAGAAAAATGTAAGACGCTTAGGCTTCGTAGTTGAAGATCTACTGTACATTCAAGGTGTACTAGTGTATATTTCTATACTGATGAGAATTCAATGCCGCGACGCAAACATATTCATCGTTATCGTTATGCTCATGAAACGCACATTTATCATAACGACCGCCTCGAACTCTTGGATCAGCAACAGGCATCCCTCCAAAATCGCGTGTAAATTCTGAAACGTCTTCCAATGAGCCATTCACGTCGTTGAATGTATTCTCCAAATTAGCGACATCTTCTAGATCTCCAAACGGAATCTCCCACGCTAACATTGCTATCGCAAATATTCGCAGCTCATCACCCCATGTTGTATGCTCGTATATATGTGCAACTTCAGAATTGGACAATGCAAATCGACCTATTCTTTCATCGCCCAGTGCATCTTGTAGAGCATTCATGGCGCAATTTTTCAGGGTGATAGCTTGACACTTTTGGGCAAAAATCCAGATTTTAATGATCAGCATGGGCTCTCTCAATCCTCCTTTAAGATGCCCGGAATACATCCAGTTGACGAAGATTTCGAAAACTTCTGCATCATCCTCGGGAAGAAGTATCTTGTTCTCAATACCTTCCTTGAATCTTCCATTAAAGGCTTTGTCAAATAAGTCGCAAGTTGATCTGATGAGAGTTTTATGGACAAAGAACTCTTTGAGCTCGGGACCGACAATGATTTGGACCAATTCATTGCCAAGACGACTACGAATCTTCGAGTTAGCTTCGGTCGGTTTAGTACACAATATTGGTTCTTACCTAGCAGTCAGATGTGCCATCACGGAAGATGCTACTTGGGTATTTCTTTGTCGTGATCGCACTGTTTTTGCTTGCTAATTTTGATGTTTTTGTACAAATTTGATTGGGAGAATCGCGGATCTGAAGTTATTACGTCGAAAATTTGGATGTATCGAAAAACATGAGGGTTTGCGAATGCGAAACCTTTTTTTTTAACATGGTATTGGAACTCTGTCGTATCACGATGGGCCGTATGAAACTTTGAGAAGTGAATTGGTGATAAAACCTCAAATAATGCAGCGAAGAATTATCAATTCCCTCTAGTCACCTTCATTACGGTGACAACGGTTAAGTCTGATCATGCAAATTACTTCACCCTCACATTACCGCCAGTGTTGATAAGCCAATGCGTACCTACAATGTGCTCATATTCTATCTACTTGGTTTTTGCTCTATGAAACCGACCGAACCTAAGATGCAATCTTCTGCGGAAAGCATAGTACACTCCTGTTGCCGATTATAGATGCAAACTTTCCATTCTCACCCCCTCCAATGAGCACAAGCTGAGTTTGAATTTCCACCGCTAGTACTATTCTCGAGAGCTGATATACAAAGCAAGGATAGCATAATGTTGATTTAGACTAATTCCACACGGTTGTTGGTTTGTTCGGTTCCGTGTTACAGACTTCATCGAATTTGTGTCGGTGAAACTTGCAAATCTCAAATCCCTCTTCTTCGATTACAGGATTCTCCGTACGATATCTTGGATCTTTATGGGTCCTCGTATGTGTTAAAAGGAGCATAGGTATATACTCAAGGATCTCGATCGCCGCACCATCAATCTCTTTGAATATTCTTTCCATTCTCTGGGCCGAAGAATAGTTTGGACCGTGAAGAACAGTACAAGCCATCATTGCTATAGCAAAGCATCGTAAGGGTTGACGAGACCTGGGTTTCGTGAATTTAAAGACCGTCTCGAGTTCTCGGAACGAAAGAGGTTTGCAGCTGGTGTTGAGAGAATCCTGAAGCAAATCCATGGTAAAGTTCATTAGCTGCCCACTCTGATACTTGTCGGCGAAAATGTGAAGCTCAATAATAGCAAGATCGCGACCGGATTCGTCCTCTGCAGTTTGGATTTGAAGGCTTCCAACTTGTGCGGTATACATCCAGGTAACAAATTCCTGAAAAATATACGGCTTATCTTCAGGTAGATCCATCTTATTCTCCGCTCCCTCTCTAAATCCATTGTCTTGAAAAGCTGCCTTGAAGAAACCTCCAGATCTGTAAATGAGGTTCTTGTGGACCGAGAACTTCTTTCTTTCGGGTCCAACAAAGATATGGACAAACTCATCTCCAAGCTCACCAGAAATGTCATTAGTTAATGTTCATATTCATGAGTATGCTGAGATATCGGCGAGGAGAGCTTACTCTAGTCGTCCCTCCATGATTGTCTAGGGTCTGTTTCAAGTAATAATTGATGGATGGAAGTATTCAAGGCAGGTTGAGTGAGTCGAGAATCGACGTAGATTTGCTTCGTGATAAAAGTCTGTATGTGTTTGACGATTAAGGAGTTGTGTTGGCTGGCCCTCGATATTTCTTGTAAAGTCTTTCGCTTTAAGACCCAGTGGCAGAGTCTTGAAGATGGATATCAACCTCAACCACAAACGTTTCTTCTGTTGTAGAAATAAAAAGAACTTTATCTTAAAGTTGGAATGAAATTCGGGCGAGTTATTGAAGGCGCTAGGCCAGTTTTTAAAGATTGTTTCGTTGAAGGTGAACCCAAAATTTGCCCCAAGGTACTGAATGATTTCTGGCTCTCGATATCAGTGGTTTTATACCATTCAATGAATAGTATAAATACCTTTAGATGCGTAGGGCTCATTCGGATCATCTTTCTATATTTGATCAATATTTCAAACCGCAAGAGTATTATGACACTGAGGCCAGGATATATCGGGGTGTGTTTGATAGAATTTGTATGAAACTAACAATAATTAAAATTAATATTGGGATGTGTACAGTTAAATGGAAAATGAAGGAGACTTTAATTTATCCAAATATATTGGTTAATAGCACCTCAAAGGCTACCTACTATGGATTATTATAAAGAACACTATTTGAAGCATTCATCATTTTGACATATTGTTTACAGTATCTTGTTGCGTTTGATGTCACATCTAATGTCGAAAGAGAAGTCGATTCGAACGAGCTCTTAGGGTTTCGTACCTACCCATGCGAATTACTTCGTGATAGCCCACTTACATTGTACATAAGACTATCACAAGCATTGTCATTTTAGCAAAGAAAGAGAAATCATAAAATTCCCATTCTACAAATTAAAGATTCCTTCACAGTTCACCAGGGCATTCTAGAGTAAAGTCATTGTGATATGAATCTCTATTATTATTTAGATGTTATCCTGTAGAAGGAGCTCCATGTCTATCATCTATCCAAATGCCATAACCATGCAGTCTTTTATCCCATCATGATCGTAATGAATATAAGTCTTCGATGTCCCACCAATGCTGCTCTCGCTATGCCCAAAGCCCAAAATACAAAAAAGAGTGACTAAAACCAACTGGCGCTATGCATATGCATCCAACAAAAGGAATGTGAAATTTCACTCTAGATCCACCATGCTCAAAACCATAAAACCATAAAACCATAAAACCATTAAGACTAAAACGAAACATTAACCCCCCCTTCCCCGTCTGTCTCTCCGCAGTCGATCACATGCCAAATACCATGTCTTCTATGGCAATTGTAGTTGGCAAGTGTCAGAGCCGTATGCTACGTACAAGCCGTAGTTTCTAGTAACGGTGTTATTAACACGGAATTGATAGATATCATAGCTGAAGTCACCTGGGCCTGATAAAGTTGAAATGCCCATCAAGAACTGGGCTTGCGAAGAGCAGTCAAAGGTGCCGATCAGAGTCTCCTGACCAGGATTTAAGGTGTTAGGTGTAAAAACTTCCACAGTAGGCTCGCCATTGACAGGGAAGACATCCCAGAAGGTAAGATCACTGGAGTCGAGAGGGATAGATGGGCCAAAGACTTCGACTTGTGGGTCCAATGGACCAGTAATGACCTCATAGTCATCTCTGCTCGAAGGGAATGAAGACCAGAGCTCACAGTTTTGTGCATCAGCTGGAAGATCAAATGATGCATAAGTGTATTGGCGCGAGGTCCATGCTGTTCCATTCCAAGTTGCACCCATTCCAAAATAACCTTGGTCTAGATCTGAAGGGTCCTGGGATATTGTGTTGTAAGCGACATGCTGAGGAGTGTTTTCTCAGATGTATTCTAGAACTCCTGGCCATACGATTGTGCAATCATCGGAAGAGACAGTTGATGTTGCCGCGGAGGAAGAGTCACTGGTAGGTGTAGGTGCAGCGGATGTAAAGCCAATAGCGGCGATGAAAGCGATTGTGGAAGCTTTGAAAAACATTGTGATAGTGGGTATTCTTTGTGTAGTAAAGTTATTCAGGTATGTGATAAAAGAAGAGAAAATGGAAGTGGTATTAGATTGCGATCTTTGAAGTTGAGGAATTGTATTGGAATGTTTGATGTTGATGATGAAAATAGAAACTAAGGTGGTCACCTCAAAGTATATATACCTCGAGTCCAATGCAGCACAGCACAGAAAATGAATTCACTTTCAGTAGATTCTTACTCAGCCCACAGCTTTGCTGGAAATATTTACCGTATCTGCAAGTGGAAGACAAACAAAAAGTTGTGATCGTATGGATTCATTGTTTGCTGTGCGATGCTTGCTTGTGTGGCTAGGAGGGTAGCCATGGCAGTGAATAATACTACCAAAAAGCTTTTTCAATATGATGAACGAGTATAGGAAATCTATTTCAAGAATCAAATATGGGCAGATGAGAGGCTTGAGAAAATGGAACCAATAGAATCCAAGAATCCATGCCACACTTTGAGGCGCGACTGACACCTAGGTACCTATTCAACAAATCATACACCGCCAACCACTTCAACAGCTGGAGAGATCAAATCTCACGTGAGGCTGTGCATTACAGAGCAGTGTCTCCTAGAGAATATTGTAACATGCAGTAGAAACATAGTAAGACTTCGAATAGTTGCTTGTCTATTATGTCAGAACTTCAGAGCTTCGGAAAACTCTAGGGTATTCTGCTTGACTAGGGCTTACATCGATGGATTTTGGTTGCATCCGGGTTGAATCCCCGCCTCCATATTTGCATGCAATTGTCTACCGACAACACTCTTCTTTTTTCAGAACAACTGTTGGAAGAAGCATCTCCGAAATAGCATCTTTCGAAGTCTGTGACTCGTGAAAATGTTTATGGTGAGTGGGGTCCATATCTCCCCAGTACAACATACCAGAACTTTGCTCGAGAAGACTACGCCGCCTGCGCCATCATCCAACCACTGCCAACACAGCCAATATTTTCATAAGTGAAACCATTGAATAATATCAACACAGCATTGTAAGCCTCAGCACCGATCGGTCTTCTCGCTTTGTTGCACTATTCAAAGACCACTCGATCGTTGAAGCCCATTGAGAAGCTGATAAGCTCGCATCTGGGTAAATATCATATGTCGACGAGGGATTAGACGTGTTAGACATGTAGCAAGCTGCTCGAACTTCCAAATACCTATATGTTAACCCCATTTTACCTGCCTGTCTTCCAAGGTATGCGTACAATGAAGAAGACGTGAGATCAACGCTTTTGGTGAATGAAGTTGTTCAATCAACCGAGGTAGTTTTGGGAGTTTCTCGAGTCCGGGGTTTTAGCGTCCGATCCACGCTAAATTGCGGGACATTCCGCATCATCACTGGCGTCCGAGCGACCACTTTTATATCATCATTCACTCCTTGGATCCTTGGATAGGATTGATTACTGTACCTATTATTATAAACATCTTGTATCATTCGCTTTGGCAATCATGGGATCAATCAGTGGTAATGAGAATACACGTCCTGATGCGAAGGAAATCCGAGTCTTGGTTACAGGTTTTGGTGTGGGTTATTCTGACATTACACCCCGCTTTACCCCTCAATCGTGGACTTGTTCAATCAATATGTTGAACTGCCCCAAGTCTCAAAGTTCCTAAATGCTGACTGTGACTTCAAACAGCCTTTTCGCGCGCAATTTCCCATAAATCCATCATGGGAGATAGCATCTCGTCTACCACCTTACGTTCCTACGAATGTAAAAGATGAGGGGCACCATCCGCATGCACGACCACCAATAAACAAGCACACGCCACGCATTAAGATTGAGACTTATGGAGCGCCAGTTCATGTAGGATACAAGGCTGTTCGGGAACTTGTGCCTGTACTTCTTGATGACACAAAGCCTGATTATATACTACATATTGGAATGGCATCTGGTCGATCTTTTTACAGTTGTGAGCGACGGGGTCATCGAGATGGATATTTCATGAAAGATGTCGATGGTAGTGTTTTGAACGATGAATACAACAAGATCAAGGAGGGCGATGACTGGGTATGGCATGATTGTCCTGGGGAACTTTTGACGAGTTTGCCATTCGACAAAATGTTCCGTCAATGGAAGGAAGCTTGTCCTGTTCGTATTGACTTTTCTATCCATTTTGATCGATGACATTGCCTTTGTCTGGTCCATATTTCCCATTCCGTTACTGAATACATTCATATAGGAAGTCGATACACGCATTTCCGAAGATGCCGGTAACTACCTCTGCGATTTTATATACTATACCTCTCTCGCACACCGTTACAAGCATCAAAAACCAAATAAAGCCATGTTCTTACATGTACCCGTCGACTCCGATCCCGAGTCTGTACGGAAGGGTGTTGAAATTACAACCGAGCTAATTCGGGCAATGGTTGAATGTGATCTCAAAGCTCAAGCCAATACTGGGGACGATATTAATACCACAGAAGAGAAAGTGGATCTGTGAATACTTCAATTATTTGACAGGTGAAATTGTATATACCTGACTTAGTAGAGGGGAATTGGTAAACATAATAGGCAGGATGGACATCATGGGAATAACACGTTTGATAGTATTGGTAGCATCTGTAGTTTTAAGAGCATGGCATTATAACAGCGTTAGGACCTCTGAGGATACAAGAATTATTTTCAAGAATAAGAAAAGAGAAATACAACATCTGAAAAAAGGCTCCAACTAATCATTGAGTGTTCACTGCGATATTCCAATCAGACATTGTTGAGCAGAGTGTGCTTCAAAGGTTTCTAAACCTCGACTCGCGTATTATAATCCGATGAAGGGGCGACGAACTCGCAGTGAGAAATGACCTCGGATTACTTTGTCAACGGCGGCAGCATAGATGAGTGTTTGTTCAAGCATTGAGAATTTTGACACAGGTTCTCGCACATTATAATGCATTCTTGCTGAGTGAAATATAATCATTTATTCTCATTTAAGATCTCCACTTCAGTAGATTATTCATATCTTCATTCCCCGTCATTACCCCATCATTATCATCATCCAATATGCCCTTGGTTCCCTAGTCCCCAATTACCTGATCTCCAAGTCCCCATCATCTAAGCATATCCAACCGGACTTTTGCATCCAAAACTGGTTGCATGACCCAATCCGAAACTGGCAATGATACTTTTGATACTGGTATACATACCTAAAACGGCAGTAGCAGCGCTTGCCAAAAAAAACAAGAAGCAGAAGACCTTCAACCACCATCTTGGGATAAGACCTCTCTTCCATCTGCTCATGTCTTTCCAGGTATCGATTCTGTTTATGGTTCCGGTAGCAGGGTCGAATTTTTCATCTGGATGCATGGCATCTTCTTTGATGGTCATACCAAAGTAGAGAAGGGTGGGGAAGGTATATGTGAATTGCATGATGCAGACTGCAGCAACGAGCGAAGAGATGTTGGTGAATTGAGGAACTGCGGATCCGAGAACAAATGCAAATGCCCAGTACAAAGGTACGATGGCAATCCAAATGAGTTTTCCTTTCTTGGTAGTGAGCTCTGGGCCACCGAAGAGGTCTTCAACAATATTTTGGTAGATGACCTTGATACCGATGTTACCGTATAGAACGGCAGCAATGAGACCGGAAATCAGGTTGATTGCATTGGTGACGGTTTGCCACGAGTAAGGTGAGAGCCCTTGATTGGCTGGATTGTAGGTGAATTGACCTTGCTGCGAGTAAACGACGAGACCGAAGATGAGGTAGCAAACGAAGATGAATATTTCAGCTAGGAATTGCGCCTTGATAAAATCGAGTGGTCGTTTCATTTCAGCCATGAATTCACAATACAACATTGCGCCACCGTAAGCATAGACGATTTGCATAGCAGAGCTCAATTGCGAATCGAAAGTTGAGCCAGAAGGAATCCAAACAGTATGCTTGATGGGAGCTTTCGCGATACCAAAAGATGCCAACACGGCGTCATAGTTTGGAGGACTGTGTGCTGCCACGCCCATGGTCATGAAAATGACAAGAATGTTCAACCAAATGGCGAAATTGGCAAGATATCCAAACTTCTGCAGAGAACGGATTTGACCCAAAATCATACCAGCGAGTGCCCAGACCAAGATACAGATGGAAAAGCAGAGCTTGTATTTGGACATTTCCGACAGTGCTTGACCGTTAGAGATGACAATAACACCAACATTGAACAGAAGTTGGATACTTTGCAGAAGATTGATACCATGGCGAGAATAAGTTCCGAAACTGTTAAAGTTAGCTGTGTACCCGTAGATTTCGTTGTGGGCGTGGTATCCTTACATTCTGAATCCCAAGTCACCAAATGTCCTCATTGGATATCTGTCACTGTCGAGCTTCAAAAACATGCGCCAAATTTGCCATCCAGCGAAGAAAGCCATAACACCCATGAAAAAATACATCATTACACCTCCAACATATCCGAATTGTGAAACAGCGTATGGTGCGTTGGATGGCCCTAAAATATCGGTGGTGATAAGGTATACACTGTTTGACCGTCAGATACATCGTAGCTTCATCCAAAAGAATAACTTACACAGCTCCCCACGTAGCGTTTCTTGCTGCTCGGGATGCGGTTTCCCATTCACCAGCTCCGACAAGCGAAGGATGGGGGGCTTTGGTAATGGAACTAGGTTTTGATTCGCCGACTGGCTGAGGTCCGGTCTTCTCATCCTCAATTTCTGGAAGAGCGTGTTTCTCATCACCGATTTCCTTCCCGGCAACATGGTCTACTCCGGCAAGATACTCCTGGTACATTCGCTCCCGTTCCTCTGGACCAAGTCCATTCTTCTCTAGTTCCCGCTGAATCTTTGCATAATACAAGTATTCCTCAAAGGGGACATTTGGATCATGCAAGTTGCGACGAACAGTCGTTGGTACGTTCACCTCGCCTACTCCGTCAATGCGAGGATCGCCGCCATCGAGGGCAAGATTTCCTAAATTGTTGGCCATGACTGAAATCTGTAGGAGACTGACTGAAGGTACCGCGTCAAAATACTTTGGGGATCAAAGAGATATATGAAGGATTGTCAATTTCCTCTGGTGGATTCATCACATGGCTTCAGCATGGTTACCCGTGTAATCCGAGGTCCTTAATGTGGAAATCGTCAAAGGGCGGTGGAGACGCGTATAGACGCCCCACCAAAAACCTTAAGTATTGAAGCAGAGAAAGCAGCATCACTGGATAAAATCAAGATCAACAACCCACATCACCGTATCTCTGACCCGATGGAACCGTTGACCCTCCACATTGATCCTATCAGATATAGTTCGATATGAAATTGTGCTAACGACGTAACAAAATTGGGGAACGTCGATGAAAGAGGAAGGTGGTCGAAATCAAACGCATCACCTGGAAATTGTAATACGAATAGCACAATTTTTATTCGCAACACTTGCTTATTGTATGTAGGGTCGTTGACACAAGCTTTGGGGCGTCTGCGGAAAGACGGAAAGCTCTTCAAGCATTTGCCAAGACAGTCGTCACTTGACGATTCCATCAATCTGGGAATTGTTTTGACTCGATTCCTTCTCAGGCGAGTCATTTTTTGGCAATCGTTAAGAATCGGAACTGGCCATAAATGAGGGGCCAGTCCGTGCTATATTTCCACTTCCAGTGCAAGCCCGAAATTTAGTCGGGCGAGAAAAAAATTTGCTTCGGAGCGAGCCGAGGTTCAAAAGTAATATAGATCTATATATGATAATAGAATGAAAAATAAGTCATGTTGTTAAATGCGTTGCCTGATGTTATTTAGAAGGGAAAGAATGCAACATGAGTTCTTACTGTGAGAATCTGCAAATATTAGACGTCTAGGCAATTCATACAGTAATATCTCCAGGTTCGCCTGAGGATACCTTAACCGCCAGGAGAAGGTTCATCTGGTTACAATTATCAATCGCGACGAGAACCCGAGCACCTTCTTCAACCAGAGTAGCGTCGTCTGTCCCGCCTTGACTAGTAGGTAGATAAGAGCGGATTCAGTGAAGTAACCCTAGGATTCAATTGACCGTTTTCAGGTACCGGGCTGAGGTTTGCGGGTTGAGGCCCACAAAGTAAAGTTGCTCATACACAGTGGAGTCCTATCTGACTAGCGTAGAGGCCGAGACAGGCAATTGATTCGCTATCAACAGTATCGAGCCAACGCCCTTTCAGTCACCGGAAGGGCGGCGTGCTTGTTACAAATGTGCGGACTAAAGGATGAGAATGGAGAGTGATCTAATTGACATAGTCCTGTAAGGACATGGAAGTGTTCGAGGGACTTAACCTAATGCCAAATTCAGTTGTGGGATGTGACAATTCGACACGGGAAGTCATATTTCTGCAACAAAAGAGAAAGATAAGACCGATGGCTGTTGATGGGAATTATCAGATTCATGACGTTGTCGCCAAATTGTAAGAAATTTCTTCTCGTAGCACGTGTGTGGCTGGTGGTGATGTCTAACGTCCACGGGTCCCACTTAAAACATGCAGATGCCCAGTTTGGAGGCTGGAGAGGGCGTACCGGTGAGCATCCCCCCCTTCCAATGACCGCGGGATCTGACTAATGTTAGGTATGCAAAATCTTTTGATTGATCACAATTGTTCTGGTTGTTATTGCTCAAGAAGCTTGAGCTTGAAAGGGTTTTATTCTGCATATCATTTGTTATAATTGTATGTTTTGATCTCAATCAAATCTTCGATGTGTGTAGATCGTGCCCTAAGATCTTCGCGTTTGTTGCCCATGATACTTTGCATATCAGTATTAAAAGAGTGTTCCAGGCATAATCCCAGACGGAAACCCGTTTTGAGCCAGTTCAAGAAAGAACTTCTATCAAGAATCTGTTGAGACAGTTGTTGGCAGCACTTAAACGCTCTCAATCAAGTGTGCAATAACCCAGTACTATCCATACGAGGCTCCTGAAGAACCACCAAGTACGTTATTTGCATGAAAGATGAGATTCCTTTGAAAGAACGGGGAAGCATTCAAACATCGCAATGGATTGTCAGGTGTCGAGATAGAGATTGTCTCGTCAAAACAGGTCCTAACATGAAAGTAACCCAAAGACCGGGCACTCGGCTCTTGTGCTTCAAATCATGACGAGATCCGATCCGAAACCCCCTTCACTTCTTCGCCTGAATGGTAATACCGTTAACACAATGGGAGTATTTCGGTATGTAACAAGGTACCAACATACCACCAAGACACAGGGTGCGGGGTATGGTTACCTTACAATATGAGATATGTTCAAAGCAGTCAAAAAACAGCCACCTCAAGCAGATCCGCTTGCTGAGCTCACTCACTGATCAAGCGTGCATCTCCCTGATTGGTTGATATATGGCTATTCAGGCGTTGTTTCGTTATTTCAACCTCCTCATTATTTGTTTTATAAGGACAAGTAGCTCCTTGTGCATGCTGAGAAGTACTCTCTACATGTATCACCATTTATGTTGGGTTTGAGCGCTGCCCATGGCCAGCTTAGGCCATTTCCGCCCAACATTTGAGTTTGAAACCCTACTTGCTACACTATATAACACAACAGTGAAGAAAAACAAGATTTTTCTACTATTTGTTGTCAAGCTAGGAGCAAATTACTGGTGGAATGATTGCTTTTCTAGTCTGCTGCGGTTTACAACGAGTTGCACTTGGTCATCGGTTGGTTTTAATACCCATGAATTCTGGAAATGGCTGGCTGATAATCTTTTCTTTGTCGTGAAAGTTGAGACAGAGTTTGAAGAACATAGCAGATTTATTGCATTTTTAGATACATTCCTGGCGATGAAATGGGAGATCTTTCGCCTAGTAGCACAGAATATGAACACAGCCGCGAAGTCCAGGAACGTTACAAACCAGTAGGATATTGACACATCAATTGAATATCTAAGTAATTGTTGGTTACAGTTTCGGGAAGCGTGAGATGCCCGAACGCTGATATCTGATACCATGAACAACTCGAGTTTGGCAGGTGTTGGCTGGTAACAATCATTTTTGACATTTATGTAGTCCTGTCCTCCTTTGCCAAAGAGATATTGATTAATCAACGAATTTTTTGGGGTCTTTTATTTTACCAAAATTCTCCATGAATAGTTGTGTTTCCACGAGGAGAACATAGCACATATTAACTCGCCAATTCAAACTGAGCAATTCAAGCGCAATCCAAGCTACCAGCTATTCCACTTCCTTATTCTCATTACCCTCCTCAGCATTAAGCCTCTTACCTATAGTATACCCTTCAATTTAGCAAATTCTAGCTCAAGAAATAGCAGCATGGCAGGAGCAAACCCTGAAGGTGTTGCTTGGTTCCCTCGAGCAGCCTTGAAATGCTGGGAATTTGACCCAGATGATGCCAAACAGTTCTATAGTCATATTCTACTCGAGATAGTTTCCAACTGTTATGTTGATGAAGGCTTCTATACCCCAAATATTCCTTATCAAGACTTGAATCGCTTAGGAAAGCAGGTTCTCAGTAACCTTGTACGGAAGACTTATGCCCGTTACCAATACATGAACGCCAGTGAGTACATATGTTTCACTCTCTTTTACTCTTCTACTGTATAGTTCTGTTCCCCGGTTCCACCTTCACTATTGTTGCTATTCAACATAGGATTGTGTCCTTACTTCTCTCCAAAATTTGTCGTCAATAGGCATAACTAATCCCCCAATCTTGTAGTGGCCGGCAGCACTTGCATGGGTACCAAACGACAAGATTCTGTCGGGGGTACCGATGCTTACTTTGAAATTAGTGATCAGAGCGGAAAAAATGAGGTTGGGCTTTGGCCATGCCTCATTCCTACGCTCGACGAACAGTTTCTCTGGGTAGATTTGTCTTATCCACTGAGATGTATCTATATCCCGCTATGTCAAGAAGCGCATAAAAGATACCCTGATCGGTGCACGTACACCCGGGTGGAAATACGTCTTAGTAGTCCGACCCTGGAGATCTACAGATATATCAAGCTCGACGAGGAAGAACTTATCAGAGGGAATTATAATCTTGTTAACCGCGAAAAGGACTACGCCAAACAGATCGATACTCTTAACAGGGGTAGTGTTGGCCAGAAAATGAGAGAAAGAGATGGCCACACGCTTAAATCGGAGTCGACAAAATTGGCACACCAGCTTCAGCAAAGAAATCCGACAACAAAGCTCCCAATTACAAAGGAACCTGGTGTCTTTGGCGCCGAGAAAAGGAGAGAACAAGGAATCTTTAGTGATGACTTTGAGGTGGTAGGTAGCAAAGTTTTGCAACGGAATGATACCTTTGGGTGGAAATTCCTACCTCAATACACAGCCCGGTTTGATATCAGATCTCTTGCAAGTATGCTTGCAATCCCCACTCAATTACGAAAAGAGGAGTTTCAAGACCCTTATCAATTCATCGCCCTTTTTGATTCCAAATCCGTCGTTGCAAAACAACCAACTCAAATTCGATGGATGAATAAAGCAGGTCTCATTCAACTTGACAGATTGATCAGTAGTCAATACGGCATCAGTGTCACTTACCAAGGAAATGGGTACGACAAAGATTGGATTGTCAAGTGCCTCATGGGCATTGTGGCTGTGGGTCTCAGTTGTATTCCGATGATTGGACCCTTAGTTGCCTTGGGGTCTCAATTGATCACAGATGCTATTCTAGACCCAGAGTCTTTCACAAATGCACAAGGACTTGTTGCAAAAATACCAAATATTACTACAGCCTTCGTTGCAACTGGACAAAACACGAAAGGTTTCCTCGCTGAAATGAAAACTGGGAAATCAGCAAGTCGACATGTTCTACCTTTGGAGAGTGACGATAAGCAGGGAAGGTCAATTCAGGTTGGACCTGATGCTAGTGATAGAGACGGAACAAGTGGTCAAAGTGATAAAAAGGTTGATACGTTGATCAACGAGGAAACTTTTGAGATTTTCAACGATGACCCTGAGCAGAGTGAGGATCTGGATAATCCAGAAAGCAAAAGTGATAGTGGTGAAACGGGGAAAGAGGAAGGCGAGGGGGAGGAAACCGATGGGAAGGAGGGGAGTGGAATTGATGGAGATAATACTTCTGAGGATGGGGCCAAGGATGACCCAGAAAACGAGGCAGAAGAGAGCGGCGAGAATAATGAGGGAGAAGAGGGAACAGGGAGTAATGAGGAGGGAGAGGCGGAAGGAAGTGCGGCTCAGGTAGGTTCGGATAATGGGGATAATGAGGAAAGTCAGGATGAGAGTGGGAGTGGAGCGGGTGCCGCTGTGGGTCAAGATGACGCAAACGGCAAAGATATTCAGGAGGGAGATAAAACTCCTAAGAGCGAGGCTCCTGAGGAAGATCTTAGAAGTGAGGATCATGGTGAAAAAGAGATGATAATAATGAAGAGGTCGAGGGACAAAATCAGGAAGCTGAAGATGGAGGAAATGAAGACCAAAACAATTCTGATAAACGGAGACAAAGGGGCAGTTGGGGAGGCTGATGACTCAAAAAGCGAGAACGGTCAGAACGAAGAGGACAATGATGATGGTGGGGATGGTGGAAATGGTGTAGATAAAACAGGGGAAGCGAGCGAAGATGAAAATGGCTCGAACAGCGAGAACAATGGAAAGGACGAGGCGAGTGGAGATGCTGATCAAGAAATCAGAGAAGGGGTTTCCGATGCTGCCGACAATCAGGAGAATCAAGAGGTGGTAGATGGCGATAAAAGCGAAGGGGAACAAGGCAAGTTAGAAAGCGGGGATGATGGAAGTGATAGAGATGGTGAAGAGAACGGCTCAGAAACGAACAATGTCGACCAAGATGACAAAGATGGAAGTGATACTCAGGAAAGAGATTCGGGAGACAACAACGATGTGGAGGGAAGTGATCAAGAGGAGGACGATAATCAGAGTCAAGAAGAAGGTACTGAAGGGAGAAACGACGAAGCCGATCAAATAGATGGGGACAACGAGGGAAGTGGTGAAGGAGATAATCCAGAAGGAGATAATCCAGAAGGAGATAATCCAGAAGGAGATAATCCAGAAGGAGATAATCCAGAAGGAGATAATCCAGAAGGAGATAATCCAGAAGGAGATAATCCAGAAGGAGATAATCCCAAAGAAAGCGACCCAAAAGGAAACAACCAAATAGGAAATAACCCAAAAGGAAATGCTTCGAAAGACAGCGATGTAGAGGGAGACGATTTAGGAGAAATGATTCTAGAGTCAGATGATGCAGGTGAACACGATCAAACAGAGGACAATAATTTGGTAAATGATTCGGAAGGAGGGAATGGAAGCGATCGAGAAGATGAAGATGAAGAAGAGAAGAGGGAAAATAAAAAATGAAGGGGCATTTAATGAACAGGGCCAAGGGGGTGACGATGGAGATAATCAGGAAGGAAGCGAAGAAGGAAAGGAGAGTGAAAATACTCACGAGAACCAAGAAGGGGGCAGCCAGGATGACCATGCAAGTGCAAATAATCAAGATGGGGATGAAGCAAACGAGAATAATAAAGAAGAGAACAACGCAGATGGAGATGAAGCGGAAGAAAATCAGGAAGGAAATGATACTGGTGATACTGAAGCGGGAGACGAGGGAGAAGATGATACAAAAGACCAAGAGGACGATCAAGGAGGAGATGACCAAGGAGGAGATGAAGAAGGTGGGAACGGAAATGGAGGAGATGGAGAAGATGCTAGTGGCGAAAATGATGAAGGAGGGAATGATTATGGTGGGAACGACGATGTGGAAATAACGATGGTGGGAATGATGGTGGGAACGACGATAATGGGAACGGCGATGGTGGTGGGAATGATGTTGGGAATGATGGTGGGGATGACGATGGAAATAATAGTGAAAACAATGGCGGTGATGGAAATGACGAAGATGGAGACGATTAAGTACCTTTCAAAGTAAGTATAAGGCAATACGCGGTTATGACTCAACTATTGAAGCTCTTCCTTCCCTCTTTGTTTTCCTTGCGACATTAATAGTTTTGAATATGTAGGTAGTTTAAGCAAACAATAATGATAATTTCGTTTTATATATTTTTGTGCATGATCCTACAATCGAATTTGAATGATGAAACCGGGGGTACATGTGTATCAACAGATGGGCTGTTTATATTATGCTTTGAATAATATGACATATTTACATTCCTGGAGACCTATTGTTTATTATACAGACGTCAACTTTGTACATATCCATTTTAGTTACTATGGACTTTTAGCGCTTCTATCAAACCATCGCAAAAAGAACATGTGATGATAGGTAGTCGTAGAATCATCTGCATGTTCAATCACCAAGAAAAGTAATCATCTTCATATGCGAAAAGACTATTGTATTTTCATTTGCTATTTAAATCTGTATACAGATACCAAAAAAGAGTGTGCTGAATTCCATCGATTCGAAACCATGCTACCCGCTACCAGATGTCTCCATTCTTATTTACTGGGATCAAAGTACCATTTCTGGTTATCCTCACTCTTTGAAGATGCGGAGAGAATATCAGCTCCACTTTGGGTGCCAAAGTCTTTTACGGAGAGTTGGCCACGGCTAGAAATCTTGTTGTTGATACTGTGATTTTGATGTCAATCATCTAGACTATTGAATTGATCAAGGTGGGGTGGACAGAATGATACTCACGTGAAGACTTGGTAGCCATTGGTTGTTGCGGCCTTGATAGTCCAGCGGGCAGACTGATCAGTCGGGGAAATTTGAGGAGTAGAGACAATCTTGTTGTCGCCTATCAGTATTATATTAGCATGTGAATCATCTCCTAAGGCTTGTTGGTATAACACTTACCGGTTGCGGCGAGGAAGAAACCGCTGCGAACATTGATGATCAAATACTCGGCGCTATCCCCTGAGCCAGAAACGAGTGCAACCTGCCACTTGGCGTTGTCGCTTGGTGCATCACCACGAGCACTGAAATTCCCAGTAGCATTAGTTATTGTCAACTGCAATATGTCAGGACGGTTTGCAATTTAACTTACTATGTTCTGACAACTGCTCCAGGTGTGAGCAAGCCTTCCCATGCATTGAGATTGAGAGTCGGAGCCTGGTATGGCACAATCTCGTAGGTACCGACGCCGTTGAAAACCATATTGAATGATGATATGAGAGAAAGTTGATTTGAGTAATGATTGTTGCTGTGAGAAGTAGATAAGCAGTGAGGAGTGTAAATCAGATTTGGTCTGGATATGCTCAACTTAAATATTCATCTCCTCGATCTTTGACGTTTATAATAGTGCGGAGTCCTTCACTTTCTGTGTTTTGGTGGCTGGCTGTGCGATGGCTGATGGTTGCCATCGTGAAGGACGCAAACTATTGAGTGATACATCAATAGATTCTTCATTGGAATGGCTTGACAGTTGTGTCATAATCTATCACATATTGCTGCAATAAAAAGAGGGATGACATGCTCGAACGGGTTTCTAGCATAACCAAGCTTGTTGTGAAAATACGTTCATGCTCCTTTGCGCAAAATCACCCAATCGTGATGCCATATCACATCAACGAATTCAGCTCAGTATAACAGCCAGATTCCAGCGATAGTATCAATTCTCCAAGATCATGGTCCTTGGCAGAGGGGTATTTTGATATCCGGCATTTAGCGACGTTACATGGGTGCGGGGTATTTGAAAAGGCGTAGCTGGAAATTTTATTTGAATCATCTTGAATTGGTGGGGTCGTTTAAAGATCCGTGATAGGTGTCAATCGTGATAACAAATTGCTGTGCTTGGACTATATCCGCGTTCGCTACGAGCTTGTGAACACTTTATCACCGTGGGGTAGAATGAAGCTGAAAATACCCATCTCAAATCACGCCTTTCATGCGTTTGCCCAATTGCGCCTCATTCTCGTATTTTCAGATGTTTTTGCCCATAGAAAGAACAGATAGAGTCATCGAAGAAGACAAATCAAAGACCAACACAAGTAACCGTTCAGATTGTGCTTAGGCCAAGAGATAATTCTGATCATTTTTATATGCAGAGAGCATACTGCGGCAGGCTGGGTCGTGGAAGCCTCAACTAATCGTCAAACATGCGTTGAAAATGTTATGTTGTGTAGCTGACAGTGGTGGAACTGCAGTCATGCAGTAGCACTGTGGGGGTGCCGACACCGGGAATTTGTGTGCAACGTAATGCGCGAAAATCTGTCGCTTTACTGACGACCCCCATCCATCTAGATGTAGCAGAATTATCTCTCTAAACTTCAGATTTTCACTGCCGCTCGTTAGAGCCTGCTGTACAGTGCGTCTGTCATATCAAACGTCTCAATATTCTATCCCTCTTAAACCACCCAAGACTTTCTCAAACGATACAACTGTTCTTAGCGGACGCCGCTTCGTATCTTTAAGAGTCTGTGGGATTCTGACAGATTCTAGACCGACAATTTAGGTAATATGAGGTTGTTTTGTGTTCCATACAGAGCACAGCCATATTGTGAGGTTAATTAGCTAATAATCTATTCCTGATATATCGCAGTATGCAGCTTTGAATGCGAATCAAATTCGTAGGTTGGACATATAGCATGAAGAGGATGAAAAATATTAAGACGTTGGCGCACTTGTCGGGATGACAATTTATGGCCGAGTATAACCGCATGGGAAATAGCGCGGTCTGTCTTGGTCGATTCGTCTCGGATTTGCGGGAAAATATTTCGTACCACAAAGAATTTTCCATTGATGATGACCTTCTCAAGAAGAGGAAGAGGCGAAAGCTGTGCCGAACTTGCAGCACATCTTGTTATTGCAGTGTGTCTGATAGTCCTGAGTCGCCCGTTTCGGCATAATAAACCAATTCATAAGTATTCACAGGCGTGGACTCTTTCCCGAGATAATACAATATAAATATAGAAAATTGTTTGGCGTATATCAGAAGGAAGAGCATTCATAAAACAGTATCGATTTTGTGGATATTGTAAAGATGTAGAAGAGACATTGGGGTTTCCTTGAAAAGAAAGTACCAGCCGGTTGTTGCATAGCACTAACATTTGTACAGCGAGAGCATCAGTAGCTGCTGTCTTGAGCGTGAAATATGGATTTGAGATTTGAGTATGACGGAATCGTAATATCAGACTGATAATGTGTACCCAAGACCGTCAATATTCGTGTTTGTTGTAGATATTCCTCAACAGTCACCGCTCTCTTCAACTTGACACTTGTCAGTTCAGCATAACGGAAAGCATATAATGGATGCGATCAAATAGAATCCATCAAATGCCTCAATTCTTAGCCCGAGGAGGCGAACTAAAGCCCCCGAAAGCCCTCCGTATTGACGGATTTCGAAAGGTTCGCCGTCAAAAAATGAGACATCAAATCCTGTGCTTTATCAAAGCATGAAATACTTTTGAGCTGTATTTGATTTTGCATAGATAAACACAGAGTGAAGTAAGTAAATATCTTCAAATATACCTATCCAGCAGGCGTTCATCTTGTATCCGTTTGTGAAGTGAGAACAACAAACCCATTAACTCCCAAACAATTGTATTCTTCTTATCTTATCTCTCCCTTCCGTACGAAAAGCGACTGAGTCGTCTTGCCACTTTTACGAGCCATGCTGTGGGAAAATAACAAGACCATCATTGAAAGTCGTCTGAAGTCGTCCTCCATACCACTGACATCATTTCTCAACCTTTTAACACAATCTCCATGCTCAAATCTCCCTTACAATTCTGACTTACCTAGCTAGGTATCTATCCATCTTTTCATCGCATACTCGGAAAAGGAATTGTCAATTCCCTATAGATTAAAGCAGCGCCGCTCTCTTACTGCTCGCTTCGTCCCCACGCAAAATTTTCACCACCCTCACAACCACAACTTTAAAACATCATATCTCCATCAATACATGACTATTTTTGATGATTCTTGATGCAAGAGAACTGCAAAAAGAAAATTTGATCACTACGAGGGTCGAACTCGCGACCTTGGCGTTTTTGGGCTCTGATATTTATCAGAATCTATTAGCACCACGCTCTAACCAACTGAGCTAAGCGACCGATTGTGGTTATTTGATGTAGTGAACGAATTTGTAATAATATATATTCACATGGTTGTAATTGTAGGATAGGGAAGAGTGGAGTATGTATGGTTGTGGTAGGATGATCGGTGGTGGAGTCTAGAGACAGGACGGTGTATTCCGAACCGAGCCGGGCACTATTAGTGGGGCTATGGCTGGCTTGCTATTCCGGAGAGCACGTATAGAGTCTAGGTGCCTGTTTAGAAGTGATATGTTGAGTGAATGAGGCTACAGATAGAATACAACAAGAGATTTGACTCTTTGAACTAGGAACGATCTATCGAGTCGCGACGTTACAAAGAACCCATCATAATGAGAGACTGAGATTAGAAGCCGAGATCTCACATGTCCAGACTCCTTCGGATGACGGTGTTGGAAAACAATGGTATCGAGAGCTCGAGATGAAATTATAGAAATGAAAACGAAACCCCAATGCATCCAATTAATTCGCAGGCTCATGTCATTGTCAGATTTCAAGAACTTAGCAATATAACCAGCTCGTCAGAAATCTAAATTTCGCTGTAGACTAACGATATACCTAGAATGATGGAAAAGGAAGAAGATATGAAGGCTTTTGGGTTCAGATAACGGGTATTAGTCCACTCCCATCAAAACCCTCTTTCTTTCCCCTGCCCTGAAAAGACATCAACCACGCGAAATCTCAAGCTTCGACGCTTCTCCACTTCCCGTATGTTGGGATTCGAATTGTATTCGACGATTAGACGATTAGACGGGCGCGAGATAAGACTCGACTCATCATTACCGGCACGGAGACTATCATAATCATAAATATATACATACATCCTATCAATCACCCATTTCCAAGTCCGAACATCCTCGAATTCCGGATAAACTAATAAACCAATCAATCAACCAACTCAAAGCTCAAACAAGC